CTGATATTGATCTTGGCTGATACAAGAACAGAAAAAGGCAGATTGTATCTTTAAAAAAAAATTGAGATAGGAGCCACAAAATTTCCTTTTTTCAAGTGTCTGCTTCAGTGGTTCTTAGTGAAGTGGAGCCAACTGTATCTTTTTTTCCCCTCATTTAATATGGAATTAAATGTTTTCCAAGTTATCAGTCGCCGAGTTCCCACTGGTAAGTTGTACAATGTTGCACACATGCTAAGTCACTTAACCATTCATATGTTTCAAACTTTCATTATCACCAATAAGGCACTTGGTAAATACTGTGCACATGGCCATTCTCTTTTGGGGAAGATGATTTCTCAAGGGAAAGTTTCTAGATACGATGAGTCAAAAGACAGTCACATCTCTACTCAGGCCGTTGAGAAGGACGCTCTTTAAAAGGATTCTGTCAGTTCCCGGGCTACAGCTTTCTCTGAACTATCAACTGTATGATCTCATTAGCATCGGCAGGTTCGTAAGGTACAGACATTCTGCTCTGGAGTAGTAGGTGGCATTACCACTTGAACTTCCCTGGATGGCCAAACCAACCCTAAGCTATTTAAAGCCATTGTTAGCTAAATGGGAATGCAGAGGGCAATGACTTTGAGGGGGTGGGGCGGAGGGAAGGTGAAGGGATTTGCTCCTCACCCCCCCTCCTTCTCCACCCAGTCTCTTCATCCCGTTTGCTGTCATTTTCTTCCTCTTCAAGGAGCTATGCGTCCTCAGGGCCCAGAGAGTGGCAGGCACTGTCCTGCAGGTCAATAAACATTTATAAGATGTACGCACACAGAGTCGGTCACACTAGTTTATGGGCATTAGCAGTTTTCCTTTTTAATGGACTCTCTGGAACCAGTGCTTCCCATTCCCTGGCAATAAGCACACCGACCGCCACCCCCCGGCCTGCGGGATGCTCCTGAGTAGTGCTTCGTCTCTGGGATACTTGTACACTTCTTCCTGGACATAAGGTGAGATGCCTAACCAGAGCCTGTTGTGTTGGGTCCCAAACTTGCTTATGACAACTGTGTATGCCAGAGGAGAATTAACTTAATTAAAATGTAAACTGTGGAAACTGTGAGCGTGAAAAGAAACAGTTGTTTCTGTGAAATGTTAGTTGGATGCTTTGGGAATATTAACAAAAGACAAGTGGAAAATTACTCTCAAACCAGGTGCAGGTGAGATGATTAGAAAGATTTTAATTTTTATTTTATTTTTAAAAGCAGGAGCCTTTTACTTATATCACTCTGCAAGAAGCTTTAAGGCCTCAGTGGACTTTAAAGAAATGACTTGGAAACCATAGAAAACAGATCATGGATATGATTTATGTAGGCACAAGAGCTCAGGAATTCTAACCTGCACTCTTGCTCACAGGAAAGGTTTTGCCTGACATAGAGAAACTGGCAAGTGGGCTTCCCTAGTAGGTTTTAAGTGAAAATAAAATGTTAAGATGTGTATAAATCATTTTTTAAAAGTATAATTCACTGCTTTAACCACTGGCTGGTATAGCTCAGTGGACTGAGCGCAGTCTGTGAACCAAAGGATTGCTGGTTCGATTCCCAGTCAGGGCACATGCCTGGGTTGCAGGCCAGGTTCCCAGTAGGGGGAGCACAAGAAGCAACCACACACTGATGTTTCTGTCCTTCTCTTTCTCCTCCCCTTTCCCTCTCTCTAAAAATCAATGAATAAAATATTTTTTAAAACTCACTGCTTTAATATACTTTTAAAATTAACTGATCTACTTTGGGGCCAGACACAATTTGCTCGGGCAGGGATCCATCCTGATTTCCTCGTCCTTTTGTTGTCCCAGGAAGGCAGGTCGGGGAGAAGTTGTCCCTGACCTTCCAGAAGGAGACAACTTGCTTAACTGGTGAATTCAGATCTGCCTGCCCTCAGATCGAGTGACTTAGACCTAGTTAAAGTTGCTTAGACCTAGTTAAAGTTGCTAGACCTCGGCGAGGGGGGTGGGGGGGTGACATTCTTGGGGGGCTCATTTGCATTCAGGGAATATTAAGAAGACTACTGGTCATCATCCCAATCACATTCTCCAGTGTAGCCTTATGCGTAATAAAGCTGATATGCCCATCTTTTCCTGGGTCCCGAACTTGTGAAAAAGGAAGGGTACTCACTGTCCCTGCACCGCTCCAACAGTGGCGGATGGGACGGTCTCTACGTATTGTCACCATCAAGACACATCATTCTCTCTTGACTCTGGTCCGTGACTCCGTCCACTCAAACAAAACGTGGTCTCTGGTTTGCAGGCGGCAGTCTTGTCCAAAGTCTGATCCGTGTCTCATGCTGGAAGCTAGACATAAAAGAAAACATCAGGGCTCCTGAGAAATACGGACACTAGGAAGGGTTTACTGAGAAGGGAAGCGGCTCCCGCCAGTCCGTCCGTATTTCGGGAACTGGTCCACAGGGCAGACTCAAGATCACAGCCTGTGTGGCTATTTAAATGAGAAATGGCAAACAGACCAGTGTCTCTTCAATGTTCTGGAAGGGATTTTGCTATCTTCTAGGGTGTCATAAAAATCAATGGAGTAGGTCTTGACCAGTATTGAATAAGAAATCCATGCCCTGGCTGGCACAGCTCAGTGGACTGAGCATGGGCTGCAAACCAAAGGGTCGCAGGTCCAATTCCCAGTCAGGGCACATGCCTGGGTTGCAGGCCAGGTCCCCACTGGGGGCCATATGAGAGGCAACCACACATGGATGTTTCTCTCTTTCTCCCTCCCTTTCCCCTCTCTAAAAATAAATAAATAAACTCTTAAAAAGAAAAGAAATCCAGATAATAAAGTTGAAACTATCAGCATGTGATGGGTGTGTACATGTCAAAGCAAAAATGGGTGTATTATATATAAACTATACACCTTAATACAGCAGTAAAAACACCCTCCAAAAATCCTTCTTAGAGTACAAGTGAACTTGAAGTAGGAAAACAACCCATCAACCTGCATTTCATAAAGCAAGGACAATATTTCGGAAAACTTTCGTCTCAGAGATGTGTGTATCTGTGCATGTGTGAGTTTACATTGTGGGGTGAGAAATGGGATGCATTTCTTATGGAGGGCCATGGTCAAAAAAAGCTCGCAGGGAATATTATTTGGCTACAGAAAAGGAAATCCAACCCTTGTCAACAACGCGGATGGATCTCGAGGGCGTTATGGCAAGTGAAGCAAGTCAGGCAAAGACGTCAAATACCGTATGGTTGCAGTTGGATATGGAACCTTAAAAAAGCCGAGCTCATAGAAAGTTGTAAAAAAATAAAAGATTGCAAAGCACAGGTTTAAGGCACACGTTTCTTCTTCCTTTCATTTCTGCTCTTCGCTAATTTGCTTTGAAACAGCTGCCTTGTGACTAAAACTTGTAATTAACAAGCAGAAGGGCCAATTCCCACTCTGTACACAGCTGGAATGCAAATACTAGTCTCCCACCTCATAGCTCTGAGTGAATCCAACGTCCAAACACCAGGAAGATAGAAGGGCTGAGACCCAGACCCTCATGAAGTAAGAAGTGACAGGAGAACTTACTGTAAAATTTACCCACACAGCTCAAGTTCTGGTGGTTCTTCCCAGCTGGCAAATTACGAAGGGTTCCGGCTGGCACTCCAGGACCACAGCCCTAACTGACCTTTCCGGATGGGCTCGCTTGCTCACTTTTCTCCCTGCGCTCCATCCGGATAGACTTCTCAGTGTTCCCAGAACACTCCACACACTGATCCTCCTGTCCTGGATGGCACTCACTGTTCCTAATGCCTTGGGCAGCCCCCTCAACGGGCCTGTCTCAGCTTGCCACCGTCCCATCGACCCTTCAAAGGTCCATCCGTGTTCAATTTCCTTGCCGGATTCTTAATACCTTTCTTTTAAACTCCAGAAGTATCTTCTAAAGAAACACTTTCCTGCCCTGGCCACACTGCTCAGTTGGCAAAAGCACTGTTCCAATGCACCAAGGTTGTGGGTTTGATCCCCAGTCAGGGCACAGGCAGGAGACGACCCGTGAGTGCACCAGTAAGTGGAAAAGCAAGTTGATGTTTCTCTCTCTCTTGCTTTCCTTTATTCTCTCTCAAGTTAATAAATAATAGTTAAAAAAGAAATGCCTTTCTTAAAGATACTTTAATAATGTATTTAAAAACACCATTTTTCCTGACTTGAAGAAAAACATTAATGTACTGTAAAAAAAAAACCACAGAAGTCACAGAAGAAAAAAAAAGTCCTATTCTTTTAGGATATGTAGATGTACATTTATTTGTATATTACCAACTGGCATATTATCTTAATCTGTTTCTTCAACATGATTTTTAATGGCTACAAATAAACTGTAATTTATGTAACAACGATAACATTGGGCATTTTGCTTGTTTTCACATACAGTGCCATATTTGGGGGTAGTATATATTGGGTAGTTGCAAGAGTACGGGGACGAATTTCCTAAAAGGGCACAGTGGGGTGTATTCTGGGAAATGGAAAGTTGGAGGTGAGAATTAGGACACGCATAAGTTTCCCCCAGGAATCTTCGGAGATATTTTGGTGGAATAGGGGTTTGAATCAATTGCACTTGTTTTAAAGGGCAACCCCAGCATTGCTGTGGATGCCTGGAGGCGGGGGTGTAACCCAGGCAGGCAACCCCACCTCAAGACACGTCTATCTTTTTGCATCCTTTAAGTGTCCTCGGAAGGGGTGTGCCTTTTCCCACCCCTGTATGTGGCACCATTAATGATCCCATCCCTTATCTCTTATTCTCCACTCTCAGCTCCTTACCTTGAGAGCGCCTCCTCAAACTGAAACAAAACACACGTCTTTTACTGTTCCTACCCCTAGAGCTACAAGCCTGCTTCCCCGCTCCCTCCCGTTCCCAAACTTCTGGAAAGAATCACCACAGTTACTGCCTTCAAGGCTTCAGTTGCGCGTACTCCTTACCCAAGTGCTCGACTCAGCTCAGGGGCGGAAACTCAGCGGCAGCCTCCTGCAAACCGGCTTCTCTTCCCTGCTGAGCGGTGGGTGCTCATTGCTGCACCCCAGGGCCTCGCCCGCGCTCCGGAGCCCGGGCCTGGCTGCCGCCTCCTTGCCGCGCGTTCCCAGGTGCGCCTGCTTCTCGGAACGCCCTGCCCGTCACCCCGCGGGCCTCGGGGCGGTCGGTCACCTCGTGCAGTCATCGCTTCCCCGAACCCAGACCTCCGGGTGCGCGCCCCGGAGGCCCCCTGCCGCCGGGCCGTTCCCAGCCAGGCTGCCTCGGGCATTGCAGCTCCCGGCTGCAGCGGCTGCAGAGCCTGGCGGGGTCCCCGCTTCCTGTCACGGCCGCCGGCCTCGGCCCACCACGTCCGCGCTCCGGGGGCGCGCTGGGGCGCGACGGCCGCGCGGGGAGCTCCCGGCCCCCTAGCGGGCGCCCCGGGCCGCGCCCCGGGCCCCTGAGGCCTGGCCCGCAGGCGCGTCAGAGGACGGACCGCCGGGTCGCGGGGCGCCGGGCCGTGCGGGGTGCTCGCGGGCCCGGCGGGGCGGGGCCCTGGACTGGGGGCCCGGGGCGCGGCCCCGCTCGCCGCCGTGGGGCCCGCGCCGAGCAGCCGACTCGGGCGGGAGGCGGAGGCCGGGCCGGGCCGGACCGGGGCAGCCCCTCAGCCGCACCGCCCTGGGCCGGTGCCCAGGTCCGAGCCGCCTTCCGCCCGCCGCCCCGCCCGCGGCCCCAGCCGGGCCCCGCCGCCAGCCCGGCTCCCGCCCCCGCTCCGCCCCCCGGAGCCGCAGCCCCGCCCGCCACCGCCGTCGCCATGTTGTGGCTCCCGCAGCCGGCGCCGGGGACGCGCGCGGCCGAGCCCGGGGCCTGCCGCCGCCGCCGCCGCCAGGTAAGCGCCCCCCGCGGGCCGGGCCGGGCGGGGTCGGGGCCGGGGCCGCCGCCGAGGCCGCCGGAGCGCGGGGCCGGGGCTGCGCGGGGCCGGGGCGAGCGCGCGCCCGCGCCGCGGCCCGGCCCTGCAGCCCCGCGCACCCTGCCCGCCGCCCCGGGCGCAGCCGCTGCCCCGACCGCCGCCTGGCGGGCCCGTCCGTCGCACACCCCGCCCCCGCGCCCCGCCGCGCGCGGGACCCGGGCCGCCCGGGCGCCGATAACGGGGCACTTTCCCCGGCGGGACGCCCTGTCAGCCCGCCGCGCGGGGAGCAGGCGCCGTCAGGGGGCAGGCACTTGGCGGAGCGACCCCGGCGGGCGCCCCGCGGTCCCTCCCCCACCTCCGCCCAAGTTCTGACCCGCGGGAGGGCTCCTCGCGAGCGGACAGGTACTCCCGCCCCAAAGCGCGGGGTCCTCCCGCGGCGGCCGGGCCTGTTGGAAACGGTCTCTCTGCAGCGGCGCTTCCTGCCAACCTGGGGGTGAGGCTCAATGTGACCCGCGGGAGGACGGCGGAGCGTCTGCCGGGCAGATGGCCTCCTGGCCCCGGATCGGCGCGCGTGAGGGGGAGGGGTCCGCGCGACCTTCGGGGCGCCTGCTTCCGCGCACCCCGGGCCGGTGGGAGCTGCCCCGGAATTTTTTACCTTTTTTTTTTTTTTTTTTTTGAGTAGGCCAGAGGTGGCATTAAAAGTCCTGGACTGGAATAAATCCACAGGCCCATCCAGGGAAGCCCGTGCGGCAGCCCTGGACTTACCTAGAACAGGACCTGCAGTGAGGGGAACTGGACTGGGGGAGGGCATGACGGTGGTGCTGGGCCAGGGGTCGCCCCCTTGCCCTCACTTAGCGCTCACGAGGGGCCGTGCTGAGCATCTGCTGGAGTGTGTGGTGTGGCTGAGCCTACAGGATGTGGACAGACAGATGTCTGCCCTGGGTGTGCTCGGCGGGACCTCAGGGGTCTGTTTCCTCCAACGCACAGGTCCCTTCGTGAACGAGAGAAGAGGAAGTACTGTGCGTGAACACATCTCCACCATTTTCCATTTTTCCCCCCCAGTTGGTCGTGGCTTTGATTCATTCAGTAAAATTTTTACTGAGCACTTACTATGGACCTAGGTGTTGGGAATACCGTGGCAAAGCGGCTCATAGCCCAGGGGCTAGGCTCCATAATAAACAAATACTCTGGAAATTACATCCAACAGCAAGTATTGATTAATAAGCATGTGCCAGACATGGTGTTAGAGGCTGTGAAGAAAGCAAGCAGAAATAACTACTCTTCTGGCGCTTTCATTTTCGTAGGGGGAAAGATAGTACAATAAAATATGTAATAAAAGATAGACTCTTTTTAAAAAAAAGCCAAGTGCTAAGGAGAAAAATAGGGAAGGAGGATTTGAGATTTCTGGTGGGGGGGGTTGAATTTACTTTTGCATGCGGTGGGAAGGCCTCCGGAGAAGGTATCTTTTGGCTGAAACTTGGAAGGAAGGGGTACATGGACCATTTCGAATTGTGCAGGGAAAGAAAGAGGAAGGAGAGTGGTGGGAACGTGGAAGGGGCCGTGATCTGGGTTAGGGGCTCGGGGAAGGAAGTGATGTTTAGGCCGAGACCCACAGGAGGGTGAAGAGTTAACAGTGTGTGGAGCAGCCCGGAGCTGGCAAGTTGGAGGAAGTGAAAGAGGCCCGTGCGGCTGCAGGGGGAGAGGGAGCGGGGAGGTGAGTCTGTGGAGAGGTGGGTCCGGTCCCGGGGGGCCTAGGGGACAGGCCTGCGTTTGCATCGTGTCCCCAGTGCTATTAGACACCTGGGAAGGGTTTTAGGTACGTGACACGATGCCATTTACATTTTAAAAGGTCTCTGGCCTCTGGGTGGGGAATGCACTCAGAGATAAGTGGGTGAGGCCCGGCTGTGGGCCCTGAGTGGCTGAACTACTTGCTCGGCGTGGGAAAATCTCGAGCAGCCCAGGGGAGACCCTTTTCTTCCCTGAGTCTGTTCTGCCTGGCCTTTTGGAAGGGAAGGGAAGGGAAGGGAAGGGAAGGGAACACGTTTATGGAGCGTTTGCTGGGCAGGGTGATCGATTTTAGAGACTTGGGCCTGCGTTATATTTAGTCCAATCCAGTGGTGTCAAACTCATTATCACCAGGTGCCACATCAGCCTGGCGGTGGCCTTCAAAGGGCCAAACGTAATTTTAGGGCTGTGTAAGTGTAACTACTCCTGAACAGTTAAGCGAGAGAGCCTGGTGCGGCCTCCGGGTAGAAACAAGGTGCCGGGCCGGATTCAGCCTGCGGGCCTTGTGCTGGCCACCTGTGGTCTGATCCTCTCTGCACCCTGAGAGAACAAGGTTGTCCTAACCCTGGAGAGATAGAAAACCCAGGGCAGACAGAAAACAAGCCCAGAGGGGATAGCTGACTTATCTGAGGCCACCTTTGTAACCCAATCTACATTCAAACCCAGGTCTGCCTGATTTCCAGAGCCCAGCCCTGCGCTCTGGAGCTGGTCTACTTGGGTTTGCATCTGGCTCCCTCAGCTTGCTAAACTGAATGATCTCGAGGTTTTTTGTTTGTTTGTTTTGTTTTTTACCTCTCTTGTGCCTCAGTTTTCTGGATTGCCTAGACACAAGAAGGACCTACCTCATAAGTTTGTCATGCAGGTCACATTAACTGAGCCATGCAAACGTTGTAACACCTCAAATATTAGTTACTGTTATTATTTAAAAGTGTCAAACACCCACACTGCCCCTCAGCAGTCTGCAGTCATTTTGGAGAAGGTTAAATACATGGATAGTTACGTTTTTGAATTTTTGTGAGACTCTTGTTCCCTTCTTTTCCCTCTAAATAACTTAATGCCATGTTCCATGTGATCAATCATTCAACATTGATCTCCCATTTCATTCTCGATACTGTGCTAGGACCTATGGCTGCAATGGACTTAAGAAGGCTCGAATGCACCTTTAGGTAGACAGCTGTTGGCAGAAGTAAGCACTGAAGGCCTGGAGAAGTAGGGAGGGCTTCAGGGAGGAGGTGACTTTTGAACTGGGTTTTGGAGGAAGGATGGGAATTTTCTGGGCAACACTGGACAAAGGATATTCTAGGTAGAGAGAGAACTGTGTGTGAAAACATGGAGTCACGAAAGGCTTGCTTTGTCTGGCCATGAGGCTGGAAAGCTGAGTTGGAGCTGTGAAAAGCAGGTCAAGAAGTGTGGATTTTAGTCTGTAAACCACAGGGAGCTAGCAGGGCAGCATTAGCTACGTCCAGTACTTAATGTGATGGGTGTTGCTGTTGAAGAGCGGAGACAGATGTCGTCCTGAAGGGTGGCTTTTTACCGCTGGGATCGCTGTGCTTCAGGGTCTAGTTCTCGGTTTTGTAGAACCAAACTTTAGCTTTTCGTAGGGCGTTCAGAACTGCCTGGGTCCCGGGAGACAGACTTACGAATCAAACTTGGAAGAAACTGATGCATAAACTCAGGGTATGAACTGGCCCTGAGAAATGAAACTGCAGAATGACAGATGTTTCTGTCCTCTGGCCGCGGCCTCCCACCCCCGCCCCACTTCGGGCCAGGCCTGGGACATGCTAACAAACTCTTGCTCCTCAATTCCTGTTTGTTTTTCCCAGGCTCCATGAAAACTTGTTAACATAATTTTTCCCCCCTCAAGCTCTGTATACTGGAGTCAGCAGTGATTAGTAATTGATAGAATCAATGATTCTGCATCGGCCGGGTGGGGTCCTATGTTTGTGAAACTGAAGGAAGAGGGGGAATAATTTTTTTAAAAGAAATCAACTATTAGGAAAAAGGGTTCCCTTGAATTGTGTGCCTGGAGGGGGCTTGCAGATTCTTACCTACTTATTTATTTTTAATGGACTTAATTGGGACGACATCGGTTAATGAAATTACTTACCGTAGCTTTCAGGTGTACACGTCTGTCACACATCATCTGTATACGGTATCGCGTGTGCGCCGCCCTGAGAGAGGTGTGCAGATTCTGAACGGCGTGGGCCATTTTGTGGCCGGGAGTGAGGGTTGTGGACAGATTCATTGGAAGTTGTTCTGGAAGCAGAGGTCTGTGGCCTGGTGGGGGGTGGGGTGGGGGGGCTTTCAAGTGTACTTGAAGGAGAGACTGGCATAGAATCTTCATCGTCCATACACACTGGACACAGAAAAGAAAGTAGCGATTCCTGCCTTCTGTCCACCCCGGCGGTAGCAAGCTCTCGAGTGGGGTTCGCGGTGTTCATGGGGTTCAAGCCCCTTATGTTCTTGCTGCTTCTGTGACCCCGGGAAGGGTGGGGGACCTGCTGGAGTTTTGAATCTGTGTGTTTCTACAGTGAAAGACGAAATCCAAAGAGACCGACCTAGACTGTGGATTAATTACTTTGCTTTCACGGCTCTGAAATGAACTCCTCAAGAGTATTCACGGAGAATGCTTAGGAATTGCAGGTAGGGAGACAAAGGAAATGAGAGTAGCTGGACCCGGAGCGCCTGTCAACATTTGCATATTTAGTGTTTGTATTAGACCTTTATCTTGAACTCTGGCGTCCCGCCTGGGTTTGTTCTTAACTTTTCCTTGTCCTGAAAGAATAGGAACCCCCTGCAGAGGAGAGAGCTCCGCGAGTGGATCGGTGGCATGGAGACCCCCAAATCTCTGTGTTTCCCTTTGTGGGCACCTGGGCCAGCGCGCTCCCTCTGCCCCCTCGGGAGTGCCGGCTGCTATGCCCTTTTGCTGATGACTTTTGAGATGTGTTTTCGGGGGATCAGAGCCTTGCTTCAGCCAACCACTCACTTTCACTTGACAGTGGGGAGTGTGCGTGTGTGGAAATGGCACAACCGATCCTTTTATGACTCAAAGAAAAGTTAATGAACACTCTTCAAGTTTGGTTTCACCGCAGAGTCATCTCTGGAACCCGTCAGCACCACGGGCCACCCTGGCTCACGTGTGCCTTTCAGTGATTCCTTTTCACGCTCCACTTCAGGCTCCGAAGGCAGGCGTT